TAACTATTCATGTTACATAACATACACATCAAATTATTTTATATTTATCTATGTTTAGTCATGTCCCAGAGGAAATGATCCCGGTAAAAGTTCCTGGGAGTAGTTACTTTCCCGGAAATTTTCTTTAAGACTACTTATCCAACATTTCTCAATATTACTATTATTATTTTTATGTGACGTATCATATTGTTTATTGTCAAAATGAATGCAGTATTTTCATGTAATAATAGTGCCCCTTTATTACCAATATAAATACATTTTTTCCTAAATATAAATTAAATGGGAAAATACAACCTTATCGCATACAGCAACGTGTGTGTCTTACTTGTTCGTGGTTTATAAATATTTCCTGTACAGTATAGTGACTCGAGACNAACAAATAATACAAAAATACTATGTGTATAATAATAATAATTATTGGCCTGTTATTACTTGTTCGTGGTTTATAAATATTTCCTGTACAGTATAGTGACTCGAGACGTGTTCATTGTTTTACTTCTTTACAAAATTAAATTAGCAGATAGAGCATTTTACTTTTACTTTAAAATCTTAAGTGGTGTTAACTGTTTTAAAATGACAAAAAATCCAAATTGTATAAAAATATTTAATTGAAGTAACCAAAAAAAAAAAACCAAAACTGTGAGGCAATATAAATTTTGCAATTTAATAAACACAGTAAAAAATGCAATAAAATATGAAAATATTAATAAAAGTATGCGAGAATGCACCACTTCAAATGAAAGAAGATTAAAATGACAAAAAAAAGCACCACTATTAAGCGCAGATTATTCAAAGAGGTAATTTTCTAAGATATGACACAGTTAAAANTTATTCAAAGAGGTAATTTTCTAAGATATGACACAGTTAAAAGAATCATAAATCTCTGACGACTATTAAAATATATTATTAAAAACCTTCAATTTTATTTGGACCATCATCAACCATCTATCTCACAGACTGTATCATTTGTACGTTAGAGTACGCCATTGTCATTACAAAATAATTCAATGCCCACAGAATTATCTATATATTAGTGTCCCAGAATTTTGAAGTTATGTAAATGCTTAGTGCATACCCCCTCAAATTTATTTCTATACATATAAAAAAGGACACAAAAATTAAAATAAGGATAATGTTTCATATAAAAATTGTTCAAATTTTAAGTAATTGATAAAATTTTCATTGGGGCGATCTTTTATTGATTTAACATGATGAATAATTTTTACAAAATATATTAGTATTATTTCTTAATTTCGTTCATCATCTGGTATGCTACTACAAAATTTCTTATGAAGTACACGGCGATAATACTATTGTATTTTCTGCATATGGAGTAAAATTTTTTTGTTATATTTAAATATTTCCACAAATCATAAAAGATTACAACTCATGATAATGTCATTTTATAGACACGACTCCATATAGTTTACTTATCGAAAGAAGTTTATTGAAGAATAATACTTAGTAATGTTAAACTGTCGATTAAAAAGTCAATTAAATTATAATTAGAACAATATAATTAACCTTTTAATAAAATATTATTGAATTTCCAAAAATTTATTAAGTAAAACAAAGTAGTAATTAATTTATATTTAATTTGTTAAAAAATATATATATATATATATAAGCTGCATACCTATAAACTCAATATTTAATATAATAAAATAAAATAATAACTAAAAATAAAAGTATTTTTCGGGTATGAAACATATAAATTCGACAAGCACCAATAAACTAATTTCTTCAACAGAACTACCATATTTTACTATTTCTTCACTCATTTTATACTTTTTTATATAATTATTTTTTTTTTCTTTGAAATTATTGTATGTCATAAGGAATGTATATTTCAACAGCGATTAAGTTCTCATATAAAATTTCAATATTTGACAAATTGATCCACAAAATTAATAACGTATTATAGATATTTCTATTTTGTAATTTTATAATTGTATTTTTTTTCAAATGCGCGTACCTGCGGCATCACTTTCCGTTGATGCTAGCTAGATACAGCCCGCCATTTTTTTCTGTGCAACTTTATAAAACGCGTACCAGCGACAAGACTTTTTGTACAAGTAGGCCAGGTACTGCCCGTCTTTTTATCATGTAAATAATAAACACATTCTTGTTACACCAAATACAAATATTAAATTGTGTGCAATAAATTTATTAAAAAATTAAGAGAATAACAAATCCAATAAGTTATAAATTGAAACAAAAAAATCCAGTATTAAAATGCTTGTACAAAATTAAACGAAAACCTTTAAATACTTATTTTTAGTCATTTAAGAAAACATCAAAGCATTTTCAATAATATTTTTGAATTTAAAAATTTTTTATTATTTGGTATGTATACAATTACTTGATTGTTAGTTTTAAAAGATTTGTTTGACACTTTAACAATATTATTCATTATTATTATTATTCATTTATTTTAAACTATTGATAGTCAATTAAGCATACTTAAATATTATACTAAAATTGTGATGAGGCATAAAATAAATACTTAGAATACAGAATCAAAGCTTTTCCTAAAAATTTATTTGCAATTTCTTCTTTATTTTCTTCATATAAGATATAAATTTAGACATTTCAAATAACAAAAATATTTAGTTTTTTTTATTTATTGTATTCTAAATACTTAGAAAAGGAAAAACAGGTACAGTTGTCTTAATATTAACCGATTTAAAACAAAACTACGTAGACGCACAGTCTGCATAAACACTATTGGTCTGAGAAACATGGATAAGATAATATTTCAAAGAAATCTTTCAATAAATCATCAATAACTGAAGAGAAAAATTGGCAAAAATTAATAAATTAATAATGAGTCTAACATTTGAAGATAATACAAAAGTTTAAAACAAAATATGAAGACGGTATTAAAACAAGAGCAAAACTGTTCAAGGCTGTTTATTTAAATCACAATTAATTTATATTTTTTTATTGTCACTGTTTTACTAAATATTTTATATTTGTTAAAAAATACACTCGTCTTAAGTTTATATATTATTATATACTCTTATGTTAAATTATTAACACGCTTATATTAATTTCACTTGTATGTGATGTGATGTGTTTGTAACTTTCCACGCGGCAAGTGTTATTATTCTCGCGTATCTCGTCGTCTAGACTAGTCGTCGTAACGCATTCACCCCACCCCGCTCAACAATTCACCAGAAACACTAATCAAGTATAATTTTATATTTTTTTGTTTTCGTACCCGAACAGGCGTGCGTGACATTTATTATATATATATATAAACAAATTTTTATTATGACTGACCAATACCACCCGTATGTAATGCGTCTTACGTATATATATTTAGATATTCCTATGGCCGCTGACGCCGTTTAAACCTTAGATATAACGTTCCCCCCGCCCAAAAAACAAGGCTATAACTATTGCATGATACGTTTAAAGTACTTATGTCGCCATACTATATATATAAGTATGTATGTATATATCTTCCTACAGCCGCCGCATCTGTCTCGTGTACAACGTTGTGTCCACTGTACCCATAGCAATAGGATTGCCGATGCGACGGTAGACATTTATTTAATAACATTCGCATAATCCGTATGACTATATAAGCACCAGCCAGAAAAGTTTCCTTTCGATCAAATTCGTCGGCCTTACCGACGGACCGAGACATGCCATCCGTCCGCTGCCGGCCAGTGGACGCTTATGTATAACTTACTATACTAATTATTCTAAAATCCGTTTCATACGATTCCGTCAAGTACGTACGATGTGTACTTATGGGGACGCGTACCTTAAAGAAACAATGGGGCTGATTATGCAAACAAGTGATATATTACATAGAACAAATAAAAAAAAGCCGAAAAAAATAAAATCTATAATTATTGAACAATTTTAATAAAAAGATTAATAAATGTAAATAATAATATTTCAAAATATATAAAACTAAAAATATATAAATCTAAAAGAAGTTTTATGTAACTTGATTTATACAAATAATACATTTTTCATAAAATAAATAATATAACTTAATGAATATAAATTCTCAGAACAACAATTAGAGCCATTATAATTAGTAGTCAATACTGAATAATTGAAAATTATTAAAATACGAATGTAATATAATAGTTTAATTAAATACTTGTATTTCAATAGTCGTTGATCCAAAAAATAATTTGGGTATTTTTTTAACAGTTCATAGTAATAAGATTAATTCTATGAATGTGTACAAATTTCAAAAAGAATTTAAAAAAACATTTACACTATTCACTACTTATTGGACATCTAACCTAATAACCATTTAAAACCTTTTAAAAGGCACCAGAGATAACCAAATTTTGATATTAATATGATAAAACAAAAATTATTTATGAAGTATGCTAATTAATGACATATAATCCAACAAAATAATAACAGTGTCGTAGCAAGAGTATCAAAAGTACGTAAGCAAGCAGTAATAATATTTTTTTAAGTCATTATAATACATACTACTAGTTGTGAATATTTGACGTATTGTTTAAAAAAATTGGCCAAGTGAGAGTTAAAAAATGACACAAACAAAACCATATAGTAAAATATTTTAAAATAAATAAGAAATTCCTTTTCACAAAGTGAGACTACATCGGTGGTGTCCTTGATATTCATTGAAGTTATACAATTTAAGTGAGATAAAAATCATAGTTAGACTTATGTAAATTGTATAAAAATTACTATGACAAGTCCTAATTTTAAAATAAACAAATACAAGTATACAACTTGAACACAAAAATAGCAAGTTTTTTACCTATGACAACTATTATAAGTCGCCGGGACAAATATTTTTTTTTTTTATTAAAAAGATAGTTATTTTTGAGAGAATTTCCACTATTTAAGGAAAACGAAGGCAAAATTTTCAATTTATGAGGATAATATCTTTAACTAGATACTTATTTTTTATGTATCGTAGAGAAAAATCGGTCCATTGAGCTCAGAAAAAGTTGTGACAAAAACAAAAAAAAAATAAACACATCATGGTAAAATTAATATCTTAACAAATTCGCATCGAAGCCAAAATTGACCAGTGAAAGAATAAAATTATATACCTTACCTGAAAAAATAATTGATTATCATTTCACAAGTTTGTAAAAGATCTAGAAATTTCTGTCAACTAAATAACAACTGATGACAACGGAAGAACCATCGATTTATATTTCTAAGATAATCAATGAGAAACATTTTCTACTTAAGCTAAATGATAATATGGTACCAACTTAAAAATATATTAAAAGAAAAACTTTTAACATGTTTTAGCGTCATGCGACAACTTTATTGTCGTTTACAAGAAAGTCCAATGGACACCGTAGCACAGTAACTATTAGTCAGAAGATTATAATTTTATTTAATAAGATGTTACATATTAGTAAAAACAGGAATTAACGAGTTAAAAGATATAAATATAAAATATAATTATACTATAAACTATTTACAAAATACAATTAAGCTACACGACTCACTCACGTAGTAGGGTTTGGTAATAAGTACACCCCCTCTTTGCTTTCATAAAAAAAAAAAACCTAATTATTTTTAAAAACGATGCGGCTCACTATCTACAATCACATACTAACGCTTGTGAAAAATAGTTAAAGAATTGTAAATCAAAATTAATGAAAACAAATCCAGTCAAGTTACCTTCGCTCTCCGACCTGAAATATGTTCCGCTATAACAATTAACAATACAATTGTCGCTTCTCAAAATGAGACAAAATATCTAGATCTAATCCTTGACAAACGGCTAACCTGGGGTCCTCACCTTAAAGAAAAAAGGAAAAAATCAAATATTAGATTACATCTTTTTCGCCCTCTGCGAAGTCTAAAATATCTCTCAAGATTAAACTACTTATAGACAAGTCATTAATTCGACCAATATGGGCTTATGGAATACAAATTTGGGGACCAGCTAAACCGTCAACTATAAAACCAATACAGGCGATCCTAAATATCTCTCTACGAATGATTACAACTGCTCCCTGGTACATAACAAATCAAAACCTACATAAAGACCTACAAATAGACTCTGTTAACGAACTTGCTAAATTACATTACCTTAGATTCCACACAAATCTACACTCGAACTCAAATCCATAATAAAACGCATGCACTCGACCAATATCCCCGACGACCCTCCAAGATGACTAAAACGCAACTGGAATAGAGACTTACTAACATAAAATAACCACCTAAACATAACCAACTTACTTTAGAGGTGTTAACAAAGGGTGGCTTCCTTTTCAAGATATACACACCTTGTCATTGATTAGTCAAACAAAAAACTTATTGTACATATAGTTGTATAGATTGTTTTAGTAAAATGAAAAAATAATAAAAAAAATTTTCTCACTTTAAAATGTTAGTCTAGTGTTCGCAAAAATTAATAAAATTAAATATGTAATTCAGATCAATTATTAAATGAAGCAAAATGATTGAATGAATAAAATGAAAAATTGACATACATTTTGAACAAATGCTGAAACTGAAGGGTCATTTTCCTAAATTAAATACGATGCGAGTATTCAGATACCGCTTATACTCATTAAGCTGGTCCTAAGTTAATAGCAGAAAACAGATAGGATGGTCAGAACCAATCTTAGTATTGAGCCTTACAACCAAAGTAGTTGACGACGTAATAGATGAAGTTATCAACGATTAATATTTCTAACAATTGAAACAGTATGAAATTAATTTAGAAGAGCGTATATTGTAACAAGTTAACACAAATTTAATTCATAATATAAGCAATGTGCAAGAAAAACTTATTCCTTAGATACATATAAACAATACATTATTAAGAGTGAAAAATAATAAGAATAAATTTATAATAAGATTATTATTATTTAAAGAATAACATATAAAACAAAATATGCAACTAAATACTTAATTGGTAATAAACAACAATATTCGTGTGAATAGATTAATAAATTATTCAAAGTAATATACTGCTGTTACTCACCAAAAGAAACTGATTAATAGATGGACAATAGTGGACAGTCAGAGGTAGCTAATGAGGTCCAATTGGCCAGAGGATTGCTTACTCTTCTACGACCGATAGAGCTCAGTAAAACGACGTTATATTATTACGTGACGACGAGAACACGACTCAATTACGGTGCACACGCGACGTTTATGCTTAAAAGGAGGTATATTGAACAAAATTATTTATATATAAACATTAATGGGCAGGGACAGCGAACAACACGCACGAATCGTTAATGCTACACGTTGATCTGTAAGAACGCGTTTCACGTAAGAAAGACACTAATCCAAATAATGGCGGTTGACCGATGGAGTTCCCAGTACATTATGGGACCGGTCCAATCACAGTGCTTGTGCCGATAATATTGTGGTGGTAGGGGTAACAGTGTTACATAGAAAAACACGTCGTAGTTCACTGCGGTAATTACCTAGATGTGTGGAAATCCCAATCAACTCGTCGGCTACAACATAAACATGTTTCTTTGTGTTTCATTGTTGTCGGTAAATTACTTAGAGGGGTGTACCCGTAAAGGCAACGACTACGTGACGAACACGACGTTTTATTCAAAGTATAATGCAGAGATTTCTCCGAACTCCTTTAAAACAATGCTAATACCGTCGCCGGGTATTTCTAATGTTTTGTACCTAAAGCCGGATTCCCACGACTGTTGTACTTGTCAAGTACACCAAAAATTGTATACTTGTACAAGTTATAAATAAAAAAGGCCAGTGTATTAATCCTACGCCTGAATAAAATGCCAAGTACTTGACAAATACACAAGTGTGCACCAGTGAACTATAAGTGTAAACTCGTCTTTTAATTCCTTTGACATGTGTCGCATTTACCGACAATCCGCGGGAAAATGAATAAGTGACCAATAATTGTACTGGTATAGTGTTCCGACGGCTTGATAAGTATACACAAATGTCGAATATTTGGCATGTACACTAGTCATAACCCGGCTTAACACCTGAGGTAAACGCAAATGTGATATGTATATTTCCTAACATGAACAATATATGAATAAATGAGAATTGTCGAGTTTAAGCTGTATGAGCCATTCTAACAGTAAAACTTCATATTTTTAAAAGTTGCCAGAATTTCATGATATTAGATAAAAAAATAAACGTTAAAAATGTTTATATATCTGAAAATATTTACCAAAAATGAAGTCAGATGAATTTGAAAATGAAGTTTCCACCTCGCAATGTTTTTGACTAGTATTTTTATTTTTTTATTGTTATCTCATTAAAAGTTCCGAATTTTCAATATAACCTTGGAAGTTACAAGAGATGACTTATTTTATTTGTGAACTATTTTCTGATTTAAAAATATATGATATTTAAGTTTCGAAATATGTTATTTATTTTATATCTAATAAATAAGTTATTATTAAAATGTTTACAAATAATTTATTTTTATTTCTCATAAAAACAATTATAACCACCTTATTCCCCTCTCGCCTGAGCCACATCGGTCATTCACAATACCCTCTAACATAGTTTCTTTTAACTATCTAACATGCGCGCTTCCGTGTGAGTGTTGGGAGATATATGGAGAGTCTCTAAACCAAAACATACTTATATATGGATGAGAAGCTGTAGAATGTACAATAAATATAGTTAAAAAAAACTAAAAAACACGCTTTTAAAGCACATTGAACTAAAAAGTTCAAAATAATTTTTAAAATAAGCTTAAAACAATATTGAACGAAAAGTACTAGAATTATTGTGATAAAAGCGTCGGGCGCTAAATATACGAAAGATATGGCACGAAGGACCCACGCTTTTATCACAATAATTCTAGTACTTTTCTTTCAATATTGTTTTAAGCTTATTTTAAAAATTATTTTGAACTTTTTAGTTCAATGTGCTTTAAAAGCGAGTTTTTTAGTTTTTTTAAACTATATTTATTTTTTAGTTTTATATAANACTATATTTATTTTTTACTTTTTAGTTTTATGTTATGATAATAGTTACTATCAATATCATGGTTGTAACGGGTAACGGGAATACAGGGTTCGATTCCGGGGAGAGAGTCTGAGAAACGGCTAGTGACGAAAAATGATACGGGAATCATCCCCCGTAATCGGAATGAATACACCACATATCTCTTAATGAGAATAAAGCGTATTAATATATAAGTTTTAATAGTAATTAGAATATATATATACGTGTAAAGGGACTTAAGTACGTAAACGTATCATGCATGAGGTATAGCCGTGTTTTGTGGGCGGGGGAACATTATACACGAAGCATATACGGCGACAGAGGCGTCGGCTGTAGGAATATATAAATGAATATTAACATATACGTATATACGTATAAATATTAATATATATATGTATATATATATATATTAATATTAGCGGTGGCGGTAGCAATATAATGATCTTCGCATAATATCGCGGCACTTTTGCTGGCGTCGACAACGCGATGTCCGGCGTAATCCTCGGGCGTCAAAAGGTTAGCAGCGTAGATGACAACAGTCCNAGGTTAGCAGTGTAGATGACAACAGTGCGCGAGTGCGGATCGGTTTGTTGACGTCACTTTGACAACGAGAAGAAGACTACGGTATCATTAACGGCGGGACGTCGTCGGCCGTGTGGCGCTTGCTAGACTTTGCACCGCGGCGTATAACACGAGATGTTGGTCAGTCAAATACTCATAATAGGGCGACGGCTGATAAAGGTGGCACGAGTCGTGGGGCATTGTGTATAACGAAACGACGCGGGGCTGTGTCATGTACAATAAAAATTTGTTATATATATATATATATATATAATTGATGACACGCGCGCGTCTACGGGTTGGAAAATATTGTTGTCTACGAGTGGTGAGCGGGGTGGGGGCGAATGCGTTACGACAGTCTAGTCTCAAGGTCATACACGACGGGATCCGCGACATAATAACACGTGCCGCGTGGAATTACAAACTTACAACATACAAACAACATACATGTGAAACTAATATAAGCATGTTAAAAAACGGTCATTGGTCATTTTTCAGTATCTCAAAAATTACCGTTTTTTTTTTTGTAACTCATCCAATAATTGTAAAACCATTTTGTATTATTCATAATGCTTTAGTTTACTGACAAAAAAAAATCAATAATAATCGTGGTCAGATAATATAATAGAATGATAACTAATTTTTAATAAAATATTATATACTGACGAGGTTTCATTTACTGAGAAAGGGATTTTTAATCAACTTAATGCACATATCCGAACCGAACAAATTCCACACGCAATTCATGAATCACATCGTCAATATAAATTTTCCATTCATGACTAGTGTGGAATAATAAATGATTTCTTAGTTGATCCTCACATCCTACCCAATAAAAAGATAGTGCACAAGATTTTCATAATATTTTACGAAATTATTGCCCAATTTGTTAGAGAATATACCGTAAGAAGTATCCAACTAATTATTAGCAAGCAAGCTGGAGAAAGAGTAAACTTTAAATCAGAAATCAAATGGCCGCCGAAAAGACCAGATTTCAATCCACGTACATAACAAATATCTGGTATTTTCTAACCAATCAAGACATCATTAAAAAAATGAATACAAATGTGACATTTGTATTTAAAAAAAGTTGGTTGTTACATTGAATAATAAATTTGTAAATAAATAGTTATAATAAAATATCGATAAACACAACAATGGTTATTTAAATAATAACTACTAAAATAAATTATAATAAATATAGAACATTAACCTGATTTTCCTCGTTGGAAAATGAGCTAAATTTTATCTTTAAGATAATTTAGAACCATAGTATTGAGTTAGTTAAAATTAGTTTTATTACTTGGCTACAAGTTATATACTATAGATTATATAACAATAATAATAATGCTATACATTAATTATATAAACAGCATCCGTTATAAATAATAACACTAAATCCACAATATGCAGTGAGCGATTTTAAGGTAATATTAATACCTTAAGAAATGTCTTTTTAATGAAATCGAAGTAACAGGACGTTTGTTTCATTTTGAGCATTCATTAAACGACATATTGTCTTTAGCCTTTGATGGACAAAGGTTAAAAGAGCAATACCTAAATTACATAAAATCAAGTATATTAAATAATTTATCAGAACTGATGGGATTACCTTTCATAAAACTACAAGATTTAATTGAAACTTTTGATTTTTTGGATGAACCAACGAGGAAATTTATGAGTTTGTCAATTATATCAAAGTTACATTCATTTAGGTAAAGCAGGCTCGTGATAGTGACTAGTTTCTACAGCCTAAATTTCCTCCGGAAATGTGGAAAGTGTATTACTTTAGTATTAAATAACAAAAGACTAATAATGTTGAGCAAAATTATTGGCAACTTATCATGCAAATATTTGGAAGTTTTTAGACAATATGAAAAATATACAACAAGGAACGGAGAATATTGTCTTTTAAAATGAGAGGCGTTATAAACCATCACCGTCAAAGAAACACATAATAAGTCAAAGAAGAGTTGAACTGATTGTAAATAATTATGAGAGTTATAATGAAATTATGCTATACCATACAATCTAAAATATACAGTAAAGGAACAGCAGAGTGAGATGTATAAAGAATGACATATTCATTTATATTTTATTTTATTTGTATGACATTAAATAAATAACCATACATTGTATTTATTTATAAATTAGTTATATTAAGTTTTTTCAAAATATAATAATTAGTGATCTTAATAATGGTCCTATTTATTTGTTGAACATTCAATTTATAAGATTTAAATTAATGGGAAAAAAATTGGACCTACTATTTTAAATTTAATGCTTGTTAACCTTCAATAAAACAGGGTATAATTTATTATACAGTGGAACATTGTTTGTATAGTTGGGACAATTTTCGCGTAGTTATGATAAACATTTTTCGCATTAAAAATTATTAAAATTATAAATAAAAGCAAGCTACAGAAATCTTCTTAACAAACATTAATATAGTACGTGTTTGACCACCGTCCAAGACGCATGTGTTTTCCGTATTTTATAGCTTCCGATAGCAGTATACAATTTATATCATCATAACAACCATCGGGCAGGTATGTAACTTCTTATCTTATCCCGTAATTACCTAATAAAGCCGCCAGCGCACACCGGTGCATACTCCGATAACATTGCTACGGCAATTTTATCAATCATGAATTCCCAAGAACAAAATACACAATCTACACCTCAACTAAAAACCTTCGCTGAAACCACTGCCAACACTCAATTTCCAAAAAAAGAACAAGCCATCGTCTTAAACACTATTAATGACATACCTCAATTAGAATACATTAAAGCCCTCGGCAAAATTACATCAACAAAAAAAATATCGTTTGCATCTCGTATTTCCAATAATCGTTTCTGCGTGTATTTTACGGACAAATGTACCGTCGACGAACTAATACAAAATTTTTCCTGTATAACAATAAACGAACATCAAATCCCCTTTCGTCGTTTGGTTAACCCAGCAAAAAGATTTATTATTTCAAATGCTCACCCGATAATACCGCATGACGTAATCAACGAATACTTA